TTATTATTATTATTATTATTATTATTATTATTATTATTATTATTATTATTTCGATTTGTATGGCTGCCCATCTCATCTAAGCAATTCTGGGTAGCTCAAAACAGATAAAAAACTATCCAATAAAAATAAGTGAAAAAACCAATATACAAACATATAAAAATCATCCATAATCACTTAAAAACAAAAAATCATGATCAGCAGCAGAATGCATCCTTACATCACCTCAGCATAGTCATTGTAGAAACTCCCCACCATTGCCAGACCCCCAGGCAAGCAGCAGAGCCATGACTTCAGGGCCTTCCTATAGACTGGGAGGGTCAGGACCAATCTAAGGTCAAGGGGGGATGATGTCCCACAGGACAAGGCACCACAGCAGAAAAGGCTGTCTTCCTGGGTCTCACCGGATGACACTTTTTCGTAGACAGGACCCATAACATGCCTCTCCTGCTGGTTCTGATGGGACAGATAGATATAACCGGGGAGAGGAAGTCCCTCAAATAACCCCATCTCATACCATATAGGGCTTTATAGGTCATAACTAGCACCTTGAATTGAACCCAGAAGCATACTGGCAACCAGTACAGCTCGCGGAGCAGAGGTGTAACATCCACTGATTGAAGAGTCCACATAACTGCTTGCGCCACCGCATTCTGTACCAGGTGCAGCTTCCAGATGTTCTTCAAGAGCAGCCCCATGTAGAGCACGTTACAGTAATCCATTCAAGAAGTGACCAGGGCATGAGTGACTGTGAGCGAGCCTCTTAATCCAGGAATGGGTGCAATTGGCGCACAACATGGAGTTGCACAAAAGTCCTCCTGGACATAGCGGCCACTTGATCTTCAGGCAGGAGCCATAAGTCCAGGAGAACCCCCAGATTGTGCACTGGGTCTGTTTGGGGCAGTGCCATGCCATCCAGAACCAAAGATGGTAAGTCTCTGGAGCCAGCAGGCCCCAAAATCCAAAACCACTCACTTTTGCTACGGTTGAGCCAAAGACTGTTATTCCCCATCTAGACCC